GACGAAAGCTACCTACTATGAATATACAAATAATTTTATAGACGATTTTTCTCTGAATTACTCTTCACTGTGTCATGCGGACATGAGTAGTATTTTTTATATATATATATATATATATATATATATAAAGAATACAAAATGTATACAAATATAATAATTTATTTATTGTTCGTACTTAAAATTTCAGTTTTCCTTTACTTGATTCGCATAATTCCAAAACTACCCTTCCCGACTTTGTCAAGCTCAACTCTTTTTTAAAAGGAAGATCATCAAATCAAGATCAAACTTTCTTTCGTGGAAAAAATATCTTCTTCCTTTTCAGTCCACATAAAAATAAGTTTATTTTTTTAAGGGAAAATAAGTAACATTAAAATAAAATGTATTCCTTGAACTAAAGTTTAGAATCTCCAAGTACATATAAATTATCGAAATCTAATACTACAAAACAAAATTTGATATGAAAATAAAGGGCCTAAAAGTAAACCAAATTTAGAGAGTAATCAGAAATTAAAAATGTTTTTTCTTATAAATAGKACGATATAAAAAAAGAATATATATACTGACATTATTGTAATTGAGATAAATTGACATTATTGTAATTAAGATCAAATTTGAATAAGAATTATTGGATCATTATTCAATAACGACGAATATTCATCGTTTAGATATAAATCATCTTATCATAAAAATGTTCGATTCTCAATTTAACATTTGTGGGTGGGTAATATTTATTTATTTATTATTATTATTATTATTTATTTTGAGATATGGTAACATTTATCTTTAACTTATAAATAACATTGTCTTTTACATCTTACATACTTCAAACTAGTTTGGAAACACCGAGGSGGAAAAAAAGGATAACTCGGAAACACCCAACTCTTTACCAGTTTGACTATCTAATGTTTTTGGCCGACATTATATTGTTTTTTTTTCATTCATTTTTAAAGCACAATATAAATTTAAAATAAATCTATATAAAGTACCAAAAAGTCAATGATTATTATTTTATTTTTTTTTGATAAATATATATCTTAGTTCCTTTGGTTTTAATATTTTAAAATTATATTATTTTCGTGGTTTAGTTGTTAAGATTGTTGATTTATATGATATGAAATTTATAAGAGATTAAATTATCTATAGGAAGAAAATTTTCTAAGACTTTGTTCAATAACCATTTGATTTTTTTTTCATTTTTTGTTTTTTGAAAATTTAGCATTTCAAACACTACTTGTTGTTCTGTTATCTACTTAAAAAAAACATTCTCAAACCCTAAGTCAATTTTTTAAAATATAAAAATTAATTTTTATTTTTTAAATTTGAGCAAGAATTCAAATGCAATAGTGAAATAAATTTAAGAGCAAGTAGGTCTAGTTTTTTTGAAAAAGAAAACAAACAACTAGAGAAAATTGGTAGAGAAAATTTTATTTTTCTTCCTCTTTTTTCCTTAGAGGTGAAGAATTTGGAATCGTGAGATCTCCGTCAGAAACAGGTGTCAGGTGTCAATTACGGCTGAGCATGTATGTTAGCTTTGGGTAGTTAATTCATCCTATGAATTTATATCAAATTCATTAATTATCATGTCATATAAGTTTATTATGAGTTATTTTTTACTATGTCATCTTTGTTGTTTTTAGATTCCTTCAATCAAATGAATGGGTAAATATGTGTAGTTTTGTTTTCAAAAACTATTTTTGATTATGTAATCAGTGAAAAATGTGAAAATATGTTTTAAAATTTTGAATTTGAAAATTTAAAAGTTCAGAATTACACTAAATTAAAAAAAATTTGATAAATATATTATTTTATATTATAAACTCATTTCATCTTTTTATTCATATTAAAAAATATAAAATATGATATATTATAAATTATATAACATTGTAAAATAATAATTCTGAAAAAATTATAACATAAGCGTTTAAAAATTAATTAATATTATTTTAGATTGCACTAAATATTTTTTTGRTAACTATCCTACCACATAAATAATCTTTTAAATTTGAATTCAATTTTCAAATATGTATAAAAAAACAGTAAAAATATGAAAGGATTGAATTCCTTATTTTGAGATCCAACATAGGCTAAATTAAAACAGTAAAAATATGGAAGATCTGTTGTTGGAGAATTTGGTGCGTTGGATTGGTCAATGTATTGGTATGATGAAAGGGACGCAACGGTGGATACAACAAAACTTTTGCGAACCCTTCAAAACGGGGTAGATTCCAACTCCTTTCGTAATTTACAAACTTTCCCCTTTTTTTATTCTATTCTTAAATAATCCTAATTTAATTCATTCTCCTTTTTCCTTAGAAAAATTATGCCACAACCACGTGGCCGAGTAACGGTGGTGGGCCATCAAGTGCGTGTGCCACGCGTGATTGACAACTCAGATTCATGACCCCATTACCCCTCTCCATAAATATATAACTTAACTAACTCCCGTCCATTCAACTCCAAAAATTATCAATTAGGAGGAAAAAAAAAGGAAAAATACTTCAAAATTAAATAATAGCTAAATCTAAAAATTTTTTGAATCGAAATCGGAATCATATATATAACAATTACTAGTATATCTTTTTTTTCTAGTTAATTACAAATATATTATTGTGCTAATTTTCTTCATTGCAATAATAGCGGATTTTAATAAATTTTATTACTATAGTATTAATAGTAAATATGTTTTATTATAACAATTTATTTCATAATAATTAATAATTAATAATAAAAATAAAAATATATCAACTAAAATACTTCTTATTTAAACACCCACATTTAATATAAAATTTTATTATTCTAATATTTAATGATAATTAATTACCTTTTAAAAAAAGCTATTGATATTAATTAATAATAATAAAGTAATTTTAAATTTTAAAAATTAAATATAAATTTATAACATTTTATAATAAAATCATATCCACTTATTGTATAATTTTTATTAAAAGAAAAATTATTAGTAGTATAAATGAAAAAAATAAAAATTAATTAAAAAAATTATGTGTAGGTGAGAGAGAAATGGTAGAAGTTGTAAATAATTATAATAAATATATCCGATCTACCGATTAAGAAACAGAATGAGACTCATAAGTTGTAGGAGAGTAATGAGATTAGATTTTATAAGGCATGAGATTACAAAGTTTGAGAAGTCCCTATTTGATCCTATTTCTACAGTTGGTAAATACCATCAAATAAAAAAATTGATTCCCTTTTAAGTAAATATGACTTAAAAAAATCTTCAATCCATCTTACATCGGAGGTCCTCGAAGAGACCAATCTATCAACATGTCAACCCAAAATTAATATCCAATCTATCTTTTTCCATTTAAATGATCTTATTGGATTAGAGATTAACACAAAAGCAAAGACATGATCAGGATATTAAATATCAATCGACGTGTCAACATTTTCATCGTCATTTTCATGTATCAATGGATTCAACATCAACATGAAGGCAATCGACATTTTCAAACTATTGCAAAAAAAAAAAAAAAAAATCAACAAAAAATCAACAAAATAAATATAATATAGACATAATATTAATATTAATCATGTTTAACTTAAAAATGT